TATGATATATTTATATATCTAAAAAAGATATAGGCTATATCCTACATAATATATTATAATGACTGAGGCACAGTTTTAGACATGTTGGCCGATAGCAAGTCCCCTCCTACAACAGAGAGACATGAGCGAGCGCCTGTCAGTACTTCTATATCTTCATAATAATAGCTGGAGGAAACCTATTCAATTGCAAAATGGAAGGCAAAGGGGAAAAAAAATATCCACCCACGCATGAGTAATTCCAAATAGGTGTTTGCTTAAGCGTATCCCACACCAGACTTGAACAGCACACACCCTGAAGTCGTTGGAATTTCTTAAGGAAGCCCAGTGACTGTTTTATAAATGTTTTAAAATCAAGGCTAAAGATGAGTTATTGAAAGACGACAGGTCTTCCTTCTATTTAAATTTAATAAATAAGTAATACAGATGAAAAGTACTTGAGTAAAACAGCGAAAGGAATATAGTACGTTTTTCTCGGACAAATTTTCAATCGTAATCTTGAAGGTAAGCCCGTTTCACAAGTCCAAAGCGGACCGCGGGCGGAAGCATTACCTGTGCGGCTGTGTCACAGGTAGATTCTGATTCCGGACAGGTGTTGTGTTAGGAAGTGTACTTTTGTGTACTTAAGCTTTACTTGTTACAGGAGTAGGTAAATTTGTCAAAACCTTTCAATCTCTTTCACTGATGCTTGCTTTTAATTTGTGAGTGCGTTGTTTAAGCAGTACTCTTACCCTTGCCAGGCCTTGGGCTTCTCTTTAGGTTTAGCACCTTAGCTTCAGACATAAAAAGTCAACTGTCAATATACAGGCAGACGATAAGTCGATAAGGAACTAAGCATCACCCTTTCGTAGCCTGCTTCAGTTTGAATGGCTTGATTATGAGTTTAGCCCCCATCCACATTACAAGAGCCAAGAACGCAGGCAAAGGCCCTGTAATTTATTGGATTGCAGAGAAGGCTCTAGAGTCCAGAGACGAGACTCGCATCTCTTCTAGAGAAACAAATCGTGCAGATCGAATGATCCTATTATTGATTTAATTTTGTCATGTCTCCTGTCGACGGTATGGGTGGGCTGGATCTGCAATGTTTCCATAATATTCCATATAGTGAAAAGATAATAAATGATTTGTTTTACTACACTGTCACAGAGTAGGTCAACTCTTGGTTCTTAAAAAGTAGTCTAGCCAAGGCCTAGATCTAAACTTTGGGTTCAAGATGCATTTTCAAAAGTTTGGCTGTAAAATGTTGCTATTACTTTCCTCATTTTCTTTGTGTAAATTGTTATAATACATATATTATTTTTCTTATTTATTTATAGATATTATGTAGATTAGAAGGCCTTATTGATTTTAAGTTAGTAAGTATAAATCCTTGCTGGATGTTAAATTGTTCTCTCTTCTTCTCACTCAAGTTGACAAGTAGTTTTAGTTGGGAGGCAAGAGGTGGTGGCTCTTTCTGCTTACATTTTTGAAAATATAATATCTATACTACAGTCCTGTATAGGCCTATTGTATGGTCTGTGTGTGTGTGTGTGTGTGTGTGTGTGTGTGTGTGTGTGTGTGTGTGTGTGTGTGTGTGTGTGTGTGTGTGTGTGTGTGAATGCCTCCATATATATTGTGTGTGTGATGTGGCTTCGATGGTCAAATGGTGGTTAAGCTGTTGGGTTCGCAACCGAAAGGTCATGGGTTTGAACCCTGTTAGGCAACTGAAATTGTTTCTTTGAGAAAGGCTTGCATTGTCTTGTTACATTTCTGAATTTTCCTGATTCATCCATGGGGGTACAGGGTATCTGACTATTGGCAGCAAAAGATCTTGTTAGTTTGTTAGTGTTTGAGTGCTTTATATGGAATGCTTTCTAGGAAAGGAACGGAGAATGTTTCTGATTATTCTAGGATCTGCTGGGGTAATAATATAGATTGTAAAGCACATAATAGCTTGTTATTAATGTATATATATACAAATACTATTAATTGCCGGAAAAACAGTTGGAAAAGACTTGCTTGCACAGACTACAATATATATGCACCTGGAAGTTGCACAGATTATGGTGCCAGAACCCGAGAAGTTAAAGAGATTTCTAGCTTGGGTGATTCTTGCTTGGGTGTGAGGAGTGGGAGGAGGAGGGGTCTTCTTCCACTTCTCAAATCATATTCATCTATTTTTTTTACCTGTTGTTTTTGTACAGTTTTTTCTCATGATTTTTTCCCTACCTTTCAGGGCAAAGGAGTTCTAACAATTCTGTGGCTGGGATCCATAAGGCTTGTGAGAGTTCAAGGGTTGGATTTTCAACGCCCCTTGATTTCACGTTTTGAGACTTTTCACTGCACTCTGGATATGACCAGCTAAAACAAGATGCATGGACCAAAGGAAATTTCATATACCCTCAAGATTTTAATATTTGTTATAATCGTCCTTGGAGGTATGCATTTGATGACCTGAATGTAGGATAGCCCTTTTAATGCAGGATATTTCGATTCATGTAGCTGTCTGGACTATGCTTCTCTTGTGACTGCAGGAGAGATTACCCCTCCTCTGGGCCCCTGACTCTTTCTGCAGTCTTTCTACTGCTACTCCTTGGCTCCTTTTTACTGCTGTCTTTCAGCTACTCCCCTGATCTTCTGGTAGGAAAGATCTACATCTAGCCTTCTCGGATAAGGGTGAAAAATCTCGGAGGTCCCATATGCAAGTTGCACACATTAAAGATCCTTTGTGGTCTAAAATCGGGAAGAGTAGGCTTCGGCCGCCACCTGGGCAAAATTCAAAATTTCCTACCAACTGAAAATGTTTGGTGTGTCCCGCCCGCTCATATGACCTTATGCAGTTGCGAGTGCATAAAACACTTACAATTTTTTTTTTTTTAAAGGAGAGATTATTTGAATATCTTGCTTTGACATAATTTATTGCTTTAAGTCAATAAATGAAATCTTACACTATTAAAAGGTTGTATCGCATTCTTAAAATTGCTTTTAAGAAAGTCACGAGTGAAGATATGACATGCCATGCTATGAAGTTTGATTATTGGCAACTAATTTTGTATATTTTCTTTCTTCTCTAACAGAACAATGACTAGTTCTCTTTACAAATATCTCATAGTGTATCTATCTCAACATCTTTCTTTCAAAAAATATTTTATGTAAGGTTTATTTTTTCCCCAGAAATCCTCAATGTTAGTGCTCAGAACTCCTCAGTGGCTGTGACCAACAGCCCTACTTCCAAGAAACAGAAGATCATTTACCTTGATGGCAGGGCTTTCGTTCAGTTCAGTTTCAACCGCCTTCCTACACAGTACTTACTGCCTGCAGAAGTGGAGCAGTTTCAGATCTTCTTCATCACTGACCAGCCTGAGGGCCTCATGTGGTACCAGGAAGATCCAGAGCGAATTACGTTCTTAGCAATCAAGGTTTTTTTCCCTTTTTCTTTTGTTTGATTTTGTTTTTGTCCAATGCAAGGAAGTGAAGACACAAAAAAACACTCGTCAAATTGAAAATTGTTATACTTGGTGTTTTGGGAAGTAATGTGAAGTATGCTTTGAGTATTGAGAAAAAAGTGAGTTGCCGGGTAGGGAGTTGTTCTCTTGATATTAGTTTGTTTTTACTTGCATTGTGCTGTTCTGTGAAATCTCCTTCTATTTAGTAGTGTTTGTAGTTATCAGCTTTGAGATTTTTTGTGAGACTCCTGCGCTTGTTTTTATAAGTAATACTCATCTCTGTTTGCTTGTTGGCTTTACTTTTCAAATGTCATGTAAATTCATGTCATCAGTATCCCGCATAACAACAGTACATTTGTTATTTACTTCGACTCAAATTTGGGAAATGGAATTTTGAAAGTGTTAGAGTTATCTTTTAAGTGCCTATCTGAAATTTACCACAGGTTCAAAATATTTACCTTTTTCATGCAAATAATGAAAATGATACCAACAGGCTTGATGATTTTATTTATCCACTGAAATTTCTTTTTAATGAAAAGTTTCTTGGAAAAATTTTTTTGAACACACGGAAAGGGAGGAGAAATACATAAAATAAATTGTGAATTCGGGGGGGGCGACAGAGAAAGATCAAGTGCGACTAAGTTTTAAGTCTTTTTTTTATGTTGTACATATTATATATTTTGTTTCATCCTCAGAATGGATACATTCTTTTCGTCAATAAATACACTACTGGAAGTAGGTCAGATGAAGTGACCATTGGCAAGGATCTAAGCATTCGCTTTGATGACAACAAATGGCATGACCTGATCATTGATCGTCGGGGGAAGAGAGTAAGAATGGATTGGCATAGAATGGTGGTGTTATGCTCAGACCCTGTATTGGTTTCTTGAAATTTTTTTAAGAAGCAACAAAAATTTTTTTATATAACGCTTTATCTCCGGCAAGCTGCTCCCCGTGGCTCACGGTCAGAACCCCAATGCCGGTGAACCGCCGTCAGCGGCTCGGCTTGGACACATTCTTTTACGATGACTTCGACATCAAATTACTTTTCAGCAATTGTTGAAAACAGGTCTGTTTGATCGTGAGTTCATTCATTAGATGAAGAATAATAAAAAAAGGTTGACTTGCTTTGATGTAATAACCCCATTTAGTGACATTTTTGTCATTTTTAGATAAGTACCAAAAAAGGGGCCTGGCGTAGTGGGTTTACCCTCCATGGCGATAAAGAGTTAGACGATGACGGTAGACACTAAAGTTGGCCAACAGTACATTTATGCTGTATAAAGTGCATACTGACTCCTGATTTTATTCAAGGATCTACAGGTCTATCGTGGGAAAGGCAATATGGGTCAAGAGCAAAAAAAATGAAAACAAACCTATTGTCCTCTTTCTTCCAGTTGCACAGTTGGAGCATAACACCATCAATCATCAATGTGTGTTGTAGTTGGGGGCTTCTAGTTTCATGGAAAATTTTTCCCAAAGCTCTATTCTTGTTTGTTCAAGTAGAAGTTTTGCCTCTATTTAAGCATAATTTAGGTTTAGGAAGAGCTGTTTTCTTCCACTTATGTTGACTTTTTAAAGATTGGTTGAAGGACCATTCTCAAAAACATTTGTTTATGTAATGATTCTGTCCTCCAAGTCTTAAAGTGGGTCCTCTGAGATCAGCTTTGTTAACAAGACATCAGAAAGAACAGTTTTAAGCAATTTGTTGGATATTGTTGAACTTTCCACTTTTTCCTTCCTGTTGTTATTTTTTGTCTCCTTTTCCTTGTGCAGTTCATAGCCCTTTACCTGTATCTGATTGGTGTTCTTTGTTATTTCTGAATGCTTGTTTAATGTCTTTATGTCAAAATGACTAGCTCCAAAAGATTTCTCATTTTTAATTATCTTTTGTTAAAGGATATAAGGAATGACCAAGTAACCCTGGAGACGAAATTTTAAAGAACAATTCAGGGCTTTAGAAGCAAAAAAACACAAAAAACAAAAGAAAACCCAAAACCCAAAGACTGCTTCAATTATTGGTCCTTATGAAACGATTTGTAAATCGAAGTGAATGATTTGGGGGCAAATGATATCATGAACCTCCTGCTGGTTTGACACAGTTGCTTACGAGTCTTGCCAATGTGATGGATTCAGAATTGGACTCCATGATATTCAGATGAGTACCTAATTTCATACCTTTTGAATGACCCTCACAGTGTCTAGTAACACACATTGAACTTTGGCAACAACAAAGATAACAGCAGCAACAACAGCAATGAAGTCTGTCCATTGTGCAGCAAGGAGCCCCAAGATTTGGAACAGTGGCTGTAGAGATGCCACGCTACGGGGTCCGGCAATGGCATCAGTTTAGGGAAGATTCAGGGAGGTTGGACTGCCTCACCTGCTACCCAAGAGAGGCGGTGGCTCTGGCAAAGAGTACACAACACTCTTCGGGGCTCCAAACAATGTGAAAGGATAGGCTATCATACACCCACACAACAACAACTATGACTTCTTGTTAACTGAGTGATTGTGGTTGTCTCTACAGATCACCATTACTGTGGATAATAAGTACCGTGCGAGGTACACCTTCTCAGGGTTTGCTCAGTTCCTGACACAGGCCGATGTCTCAATTGGCGGAGCGCACAATGTTGGTGAAGTTACCGAAGGACGTGTGTTTTCCAATTTCAAGGGAGGTTTAGGTCAGGTGAGTTCGCCCGTGTTTTAGGGGCTTTGCTAAATTTCTTGTTCCTCAGAAATATCCAATTGGATGAATAAATTATAGGAAACTAGATCTCTTGTCTGCAGAATTAAAAGCAAATGACTGTTGTTAGTCTAAATACTTTTTGATAAATAGTTTATGTAAGACATGTATACGTATACTGCGTATTTGAAGTTATGGTCTCTTGAAAATGTACTTTGGCATTGTTGCAATCTTTGGTCAGGTTAACTCACTAGAGCCTAAGCTATTTTTCACCAAACAGCCATTGCAGCTTGACAGTTTTGGGATTGAATAGTTAACCACAAAAAGACTGAAAGTTATCATAATTTTTTTAATGCAACGAAAGAAAGAAAGAAATGCTCTCACAGAAGAAGAAAACTGCATCTGATTTGTCCGAATTGTTTTTATTTTATCAATATTTTGAAATGGCAATGTCGGGGGGCTACACAATTTGTTTTTGCGCCCAATTTATAATAAAATCATCAATCTCCATGCGGGGGTGACTGATTAAGTCCGTTACTGCTCAACAAATGTCGCACATAACTTCGGTAAATTTTTAGCTTAACGAATCAAGGGGGTCAACTGTTGGCTTATCGCTTCCCATAGCCTGTAACCGAAAAACACAGGAGATATCGATCGATAAAGCGCATCCCGTAAATACACAGAATTTGGCCTCTAGGCCAGCGGCGCGTCCCGTAATTATAGGGGAATAAGGTTTAGTCAATTAATGTTTTTCTTTGACTGACAATCTTTTTTGTGTCCCTGCAGTGTTTGTACAAAACTGAAGTACGAGATGGGTACAAAGACATCAGGAATGAAGTCAGCCTGATTGCTGAAGTTTCAGATGAGAAAGAAGGTATGATGTAGTTTCATTTTTCGGATAAAAGTGTTCAGAATAGTAGTTAGAGAGTACAAGATTTCTATAAGCTTGCCTCTCTCCTTTCCATAATTGTTCTACCTTTTGCATAAGTGAGTGACTTATGTTGCCCTTGATGTATTCCTCAAATTTTTGGACTCATTATTTCATTGCAGCGTTCTCTTTTTAGAACCTGACTTGCTCATTTTTTTAAAAGAAGAATGGTAGAGCCCTGAGCGTATGTGTGCCTGTGTTTTTTTGTTTTGTTTTTGTTTGTTTCTTTAAGCTCAGTGATGAATTGAAAAGATGACAGCTGCAAGCTGATGTCATTGTTTCTTGCTGTATAAACTGTCAAAGTTCACTGCTCATAAGTTATTCAACAATGTAGCTTCATTCAATGTCTTTTCTTATTACTTTTGTTCCTTGCTCACTCCACCTTTTTTTTTTTCTCTGTTTCCCATTTCTCAGCACCTTTCTTTCTAGTCAACTTCTTTTTTAAAACCTTTTCTACCTAATCTGTTTGTCTCACTATTTTCTGCCAGGTATAATCATCAGAGAAATTGATTGGTTTCCCACTGACGTGGTCAATTTTCCAACTACCCCTCGACCAGTACCCACTCTTACTGCAGTGACCATCAGAGATGAGGGAGTTCATTTTGTTTTACCTGAGGTGAGTACTTTTTGCCACTTTTGTCTGCGTCTTCGTATTGAGTGCCTTGCTCTGCCACATGATATATATATATACATAACATAAACTCTGGTGCAACTTTTTGCATTTCTCCTAAATTTCTCCACATAAATAATGATTTTTCCTTCTGTTTTGACTGAGTCCTTTTTTTAAAATGCTGTGCTGTAATTTCAGGAATTTAATTATTGTACTCTAAAAATATATGAGACACTCTGAAATTGATGACGTTCCTTTCTGTCTTATTTTAATGGTACCATAGTTGACCTTTTTTCTCAACAAGGGAGCCTGAATCTTTCCCTGTGACCCAAGCATTGGTTTTTGATAGAAAAATGTCTGTCTGGCTGTCTGTCTGTCTGGCTGACTGGCTGGCTGGCTACACACGAGGTCACAAGTCAGGAAGAGAGATAGGCTATGAGTAATCTCTTTTTGTCTAATAAGTTATTCTTTTATTTTCTTCAGACATTTGAACCTCGGCCCACTGGTACCCTAGCTTTCAAATTCCAAACTGTGAAGCCGAACTGCTTGATTCTCTTTTCTTCGAACCCCACGGGCTCTAAGTTTATGGCCCTGGAGCTCTACGATGGGAACCTGTACCTAGTGAACAGGTTTGGTCAACAGGCTATTCGCACTTTACTGTTGGAGGATGCTGCCAATGGGAAACCTCATGAGGTATGAATAATGAGTTCCATATTGCTATGCAGATTTACCATTTTCTCTCTCACTCTCTAAAGGTCAAAGGTCCATATTTCACGAGAACATTCTTTTTTGGACTGAACTACCTTGTTCCTCCATATTTTCAGGGAATGCTCTAGCATGAGCTCTCAATTTTCTTGAGTTATATTTCCTGGCAATGCTCCTTTCTGGCAAAAGTCATGTCATGCAACTGCTGTGGGGTGTGGTATAGAGGGTTTTTTTGTCCTCCCATCTGGAATGGTATTGCACAATTTCAAAAGTGTAAGTGAATTTTTCTGTGACTTACAGCTAAGGGAAAATGAATCCTATTGTGCACTAGAGGTTTTAGGGCTCCCTTAGAAAGGCACCCAGAGTATGATAGTGAAGATGGCAAAGATTCCGAGAGTAAAGATTGAAATTTCTGTGATTGGCAAAGATTCCAAGAATAAAGGGCAAGATTTCTCTTGGTGGATTACATACTCACAGCACTGGATGATCTGAATCTTGAGACCACATTCACGTTCATAGAGAAAGATAGAGAGGGTGTGTGCCTTATGGCCTGGGTCCACCCTTTGTAATTACTTTTACCATTAACCCTTCACCCTTCCCTGGAGGTGCTCATTGCACATCAGCTTGACATTCCCATCGTACAATCTCACGTACCATACTGTTGTTGTTCCTGTCTTAAATAAATGGAAATTCAACTTGCCCTGTACAGGTTTCTCTTGGATTTGGTGTGCGACGCATCACGGCCACAACTGATAGGAACACAGAGAGGATCCGACTGCCTGTATCAGACACACTTCCGCAGACTTTAGGCAAGTTCTATGTCTTCCTTTGTTTGGGTCTCTTTGGTTTTTCTTTATGCTCCAAAATTCTGTGGATTCATGTAGGAACCCTGCAATCTGATAAGTTTAGTAGAATAACAATTTTAAAATGTTCTATTTTTGTGTACCTGTCTGTTTCTATTTTAATAAATGTCTTTATTACATGAATTATATGACAATGTGCAACTGATGTCTGTTGTGTTGTGGTAATTCTCTTGGCTGTCCTACACAGCAGATGTGACTTCAATTCTGAAGGGGGGAAGTTTTTTGCATTTGTACTGAGAATCTGTGTTTGTCTGTCGGGATGGTGTGTCCCACTTCTCCATATTGGCCATTTCCTAAATATCAATGTTATGTTGATGGGGATGCAGAACATTAGCAATTTATAAAAATTGTTTGAAATTAGAGTGAGCAAGTGCAAGAACTTGATATCATTTACGTCATCAAAAAACACCAAATATATTTATTCTGTGCTCTCAGGTCCCTTGTATGTGGGTGCCATGCCTAAGATGGACAGTCTGCCCTGGTATACTTGGGCTCGCACTGGATTCCAAGGATGTATTGAGGACCTGAAATTAAATGGAACCATCATTGACCTTCAACCTTTTCTCCAAAACCAGGTAAGAAACTGGTTTGAAATAAAACTGCGTCTCTTGTTTGTGCATTTTAATATAGAGGGGAAGTTGCTGTTGTTGAAAGTATGTTGTTTGCTTACCTTTACTTTAAAAAAGTTTTCTTGCTAATTTTTCTTTTGTCACGTGGCGACCCCCACCACTCTCAATCGCAAATATCTCAACTTCTCTGCTCAAGATAGATGGATATTTTGCTCATCAAAACAAAGACAAATGAACAAGCTTTAACATTATATCAGAATCTCAATATGCCCAAAAACTGACGAGGGGCTGATTCCACCGTGTATTGACACATATTTGATAAAAAATTTTAATGTGTCCTTAACTCTCACAAGTTGTAAACCTGTTCCTTGCATTGTCGCTGCAAGTTTAGTTTGACATACACGAAGTAAATGTGAGCACTTATAGCATAAAAACAGGTACTTAACCTGTCAAAATGTTTAGAAGAGAAAGAAGATTAGATATTATGGGGATACAGTTGCAGCACAGGTAAGCAGATATTAATGACAACTGAGGAACACTTGACAAAGCAATATGCAGTATGTAGTAAGTAGGTGTGTCAATTACCAAGAGTTAAGGCCAATAGGTTATATGATTTTACTGTAAAAGACAGTCAAACTGTGTGAACTTTTAAATGTAAAAGGGGAAAATCAGAGACCTTTCTTTTTCTCTTCAGCAATTGTCTGGGCGTGTGGATCCAACCTGCACAGACATGCCACAGCAATGCTCAGAAGATTTCAAACCGTGCGCCAATGGCCAGTGCGTTACCTACTGGGGAACTTATTTCTGTGACTGCAAGTACACGGATTACTCTGGAAAGCTTTGTGAGATCCGTAAGTACTTTTTGTTTGATAGTTTTTTGTTTATTTAAGCTCTAGCCTGATTGCATTTTTTTTTTTCAAATCAATGGTGTACATCACTAAGTGGATGTCTTAGGAAAACACAATTTTTTGTTATTATTGGTGAATTAAAGTGTTTTTCTGGTTAGTTATCTGTCATTTTGGCAGGTGGTTGGAGGGTACCACTGGTACGTCCTACTTCTTTACTTTTTTTTTTTCTGTTGTTCCACCTTGCCTGTAAGGCAAGGGATGATTCTACATTCTTTGTACATAAAAATGTAATAAAAATTAACTTCTGTCAAATGAATTTATGACAGTCAGTAAGTCTCTAAGCTCTAGCAGTGGTATGAGAAAAAGAAGTGTAATAGAATATATTTTGATATGTTTATATACCCTGCTTTATGCCACTTTCTCTACACAGCGGCTTGGACAGGGGTCTATGATGGAAGTACTTACAACAACTTGAACTTCAGGCCTCAGCAGAGCTTTCACCATGATGACATCTCCTTCAGATTCCAGACCATGGCCTCAGATGGACTTATCTTTCAGACTCATGCCCGCGATGATGAAGGGTACATGAGAGCAGAGTTGGATGATGGACGCATGAAAGTGTCCACTAATTTTGGTGGACAGGAAGAGGTGAGGGTGTCCGATTTCCTTCCTTAATTTGAACTGGTCTGGAACTCAATGTTAGATAACTGGATATTTTTTAAAATCCTTAATTAATGAGTTACGATTACCATCTTAGACATCATGTGTACTCATACATGCAAAAGCATTATTTACCGTGTGGACGTAGGTCAAAATGAATTTTTGTTGGTAATAGTTTATGCTACAAATCAATTTATAGCTTTTGGCTGAGCTCTGTTTTGTCTTGATAAGGTTTAGAGATTTTATTTTGTCTGCTCCTCGGAGAGTCAAATTGATATTACTTGACAACAATCCGTCGGCTTTAGTGCTTGGTTGGATATCCCGAAAAGGATGTGAGTGGTTGACGGGTGCTCTGGTGTGGTTTGCTTCTTCTTTCCTGTCAAACATCTTTTGTCCTTATCTTCCCTTCTTTTTTATGTTTGTTACTCTATTGTAACACCTTTAATCTTCTGGCGCTCATATGACCTTTTGCAGTTGTGAGCGCCGTAAAACCTCTACTAAAAAAAATCCCGAAAAGGAGTTTGAAATACATTCTTTTCAGAGTGTAATTAAGAAAAATAATTTTTTTTTCAGGATGTCTACATTGGAAGCAACTTAAATGATCGCAACTGGCATACCGTTTACATCCAGCGCCGCGGTGGCTCTTTATGGGTGTGGCTAGATGAGAATATAAACCAAGCAAGTGAGTGGCTTAAGTGAAATCACGTTTAAGGACTTCCAATTTTTCTAGAAGTATTCTCTCTAGAAGTATTCTCTGATACTTATCTTTCAATGAATATGCTGCAGTACATGTGACAATATTTTCTGTGATTATGACAACACATATATGTGTATATAGATCTATCTATATATATATATATATATGCCACTCTCCCCTCAGAAAAAAAAACATTAGTTGGCCAAAGTCAGAATAAGGCCAATACTGGTTTGACAAGGTGCTAAAAAATTCTTGGACTTTTGTGTTATGTTATGGGTGATGGCTTAGTCCAGTGACGGATTTTGAAATAAATAAAACGGATCAAGTTTTAAACTTGAATGGTGTGCATTGATGCACAATCAAGATCAAAGGTTTTGTGACACGTCCTATTGGTTTCTTTTGTTTTTTCAAGAGTGTCATATAGTCAGCCAAAAATTTACTCTTAGTGTAGGGTCTTAAAAAGTCTTAAGCAAACTTTATCTGAATTTTAAAACTGATACCTTTTCTTCAGAGGTTCTGCCCGGGTCAGGTTACTACCATCTCGTAGATGATATTGTTGTGGGAGGCTATGATGATGAAAACTGGGTGGCCACCTATGGAGATCCGGAGTACTTCATCGGATACATCCGTAACTTCATGATGGGAGGTTACAACATTTTGGAAGAAGTCAAAAGTAGCGGAGGAATCAACTTTTACCAGGAGCCCAACATCCCACCTCTAATCTTCCAAGACGTGACTTTCCCCACCTACGACACTCATCTGGTTCTGCCTTCCCTTGGGGTTGTGTCTGGAATAGATATCAACTTCTTATTCCGGACTTTTGATGAGAATGGAATTCTTCTTCTTAGTATTAAACCTTCCGGCAACATGTTTGTTGTGGAGCTTTTCCGAGGGAGACTTATTGTCAAGGTGAGTCTGAGGGGATTCTGAGGGAATTTAGAATGGGCTAGACCTACCTTGTCAGTGTTTAGCAATATTTTTAGACGTTAAAAAAAATCAATAGCAGTATGTGGTCCAAATTGTCCAAGACAACCACCTATGCTCACACATACTTTTACATGCATCTGTTCACAAGCGGTCATGAAAGGAAATTCTCTACCATTTAATTTTTCCCCCCACAGTTTTTCAACTAAGGTAGAGCTCTTGGGAAGTTTTACAAACATGCACACGCTACGCACCAATATACACACTCGTGCGCACTGAGGGGATTCTGAGGGAATTTGGAATGGGCTAGACCTACCTCGTCAGTGTTTAGCAATATTTTTAGACATAAAAAAAAATCAGTAGCAGAATGTGGTCCAAATTGTCCAAGACAACCACCTATGCTCACACATACTTTTACATGCCTCTGTTCACAAGCGGTCATGAAAGGAAATTCTCTACCATTTAATTTTTCCCCCCACAGTTCTTCAACCAAGGTAGAGCTCTTGTGAAGTTTTACAAACATGCAGACGCTACGCACCAATATACACACTCGTGCACACACGCACACACATGCACACACACACACACACACACATATGCACCCACACACACACACACTCACACAAATGCCTCATTAAACTTACACTCATATACGCCTATTCCCAAATATTTCACTTTTCCTCTTCAGTTCCGAAACCCGGGCAAAGCCCCAGTGGAAGTGATCACCCCTGATGGCTACAAGTACAATGATGGAAACTGGCACTCTCTGTCTCTGAAGGGGGAGCTCGTCTCTAACAAGAAGCAGCTTGTTGTCAACGTAGATAGACTTAGCTCTGTCCATACTTATCTGGGTATGGACCGGATGAAGCTTGATGGTCCACTTTATGTTGGTGAGTCACATGGTGTGCTATGTCATTGGATTTGTGCTCTTTTGTTTATGGAAAGTACCTCTTTTTATTTGTCAGGGTTTTACATTGTTTGCATTTCTTTTCCTTTGAATCTTGATTTCGATTGTTATTTTTGAAGATTTTTTTTTCATCTTTTGTTTAAGAGCTTTTTATGCCATCTTTTTGTATTTCCCAGGGCCAAGGCATTTTCTTTCTTTGAAAAAAATTTGTGGATGTAATTTTTTTCAAGATTATTGTATTTTGTATCAATTAAAATTTTGTAAAACATGAATTTTTAATGTTACCAAGAAAAGGAAAACAGAGCAGTAAATGGGAAAACTGGAAAAAGGCTGAAAAACAATTTAAGAACGATTGAGACTCACTGTTACCTCATTAATTTCTTATAGTTCCAGACATAACTGTACATGATGGGTCATACCAATGTCAGAATCTGTTTTTTCATCTCTTCCAATGTTTTTTTTTTACCTTGTTAGGCGGAGCACCAGACAACGTCATTGAGAACCCAAACCTGCAAGGGTTCATATCATCAAGGAATGGCTTCAGGGGTTGCCTGGCTTCTTTTGATGTAGCCTCATCCATTTACGATCTCTTTGATTATGGCCAAACTCAAGGGGTTAACATCTTGGATGCTTGCCAAGGTAAAAGGCTATACTTGTAAATGTTTTTGTTGAAAGTTTTTTGCTTATGTGACTTTGAAGAAGAGTGGTTCTATATAGTTGAATAGTTTCAGGTTTGACTACACTTTAATTTATTTCGGACGTAATATGCATGATAAAAACATTCTGAAGAAGATGTGTTCACTCTGTCCCTTTCGAGAATCCTTTGCCCCTTATTTGAAAATAAAACTTTTATGAACATTAAGAAATAATAAACAATGAATTAATATATGATGTTTTCTTTTTTTCTTTTTTTTGGGGGGGGGGGGGATATTTAATCTTCCACCGTAATATGGTAGATAAGAATGGGGCATATTATTTCCCCCTCCTTTGTCTAAAATTTGGAGTTAATGAGGAAAGAAAATCCGTTAGACAACATAAATTTTACTTTTATATGTGGCAGAACTTTGTAACTTGAAAAAGTTAATTTTCTTAATTTTCCCCTGTTTTCCATTTTCCTTTCAAAAGAAATCAAAAGCAAATGCACTGAAGACACCTGTAAAAATGGCGGGATCTGCCATGACAATCTCAACAATGGAACCACTTGGTGTGACTGCTCCAAAACGGCTTTTGGAGGGCCCCTCTGTGCGGACGGTAAGTTTGGAGGAGAAGGTGCTTTGGTGTAACTTTTGCTTCGCTACTCTTTGCACCGCCATTATACGTTTTATTTTGCTCTTTCTCAGTATCTTTCATTTGAGGCAATTTTTATGGTCGTAAAAGTATCTTCCCTGAATTGATACTTTAAAATTCCTTCTTTAAAATATTTTTATGTTCTCAGGATAACTCTCACATTGCTTGTCTTTCTTGGTCTCTGCTACTTTTCATTTGCTTTTGAAAGAATGCCTTTCTAGGAGATTTTTTAAAAAGACAGTTACGGTTGTCTTCATTCTTTGTTACTTGCCTTTAGTGAGCAGTGGTCAGAATGCATTTTAAAAATGAAGTATCATCTCTCAAGTTTTTCTTGTTATTTAATCTTTGTTTCTCAAAATGAAAATTAAATTGTCTCTAAGTTTTGTCACCTGCCTTCCTTTTTTCTGCTATTAAATAAGGGTTATTATGGATGTTCTTTTTTTGAACTCCAGTTCCTCCTCATTGTTTTTCTTTATCTGTACTGAAACTACTAATACAGTGCTATTTAATTTTTTTTTAAATTCTTTGAACAAGTTTTGCTTCATTATCAAAAGAAAGGAAATGCATCTATTTGCATCTGTATTTAAAGATATAATTATTGGCATTTTCACCTTTTAGAATATTCTCACAGTTAGTAATTTATTTTTATGCCTTTGACGACTTGTGTGCAGCACTTCTGTGGATTATGTTTGTTGTACTTCTTGTGATATTTATTTATTGTGAGAAGGTGAAAAATGAAGATAGGTGGTTTAGAATCCAACACTTTTTGATGATGTACTTCAAATTGGGTGTTCCGTATCCTCAGAAAACTGCACTACGTGAAGTTGTAAAAGATATTGGTACGGTTTTATGATTACATTGCTTGTCACATGCATGGACTGTTGAAATACGAATCTTTCTTATGATATAATAATGCCTTCAAAATTGAATACTTTTCATATTTATATTACCTTTATTAGAGAGACAGAACTTCATTTGAATTGGATAAATTATGTGACAGTAAGAGAGTACATATGGGATGCTGTTATATTACTTTAAAAATCTGAGTGAAGGCACAATTATTGCTTGTAAGGAGAAGGGGGGGGGGGGATGGCTGAAATAGCTTGTGTAGATTATGAAGCAAAAGCTCATGTGAAATATCAACTCAGATAAGTTTTGTTGTAATGCTACAGTTTGGATTTCACAGAAAAATCTTAGAAATGTTTTTTCATGGACATTTATGTAAACAAATATTAATAAATACATCATACCTTATATTTATTTAATAATTAATATCTTAGCTCCAAATAAAAGTATATTGCAATGAAAGCTAAATGCTCTTAGAAAGCTTTATAAAGAAATAGTCTTATATAGATTATGTGAATAAACCACTGCAAAGGGTTTTCCATGCTGTCTTACAATGACCAAATTGGAATGGCACTCGTTTTGAATTGTGCTAGAAGAATGAACTTTCATTTTCTGTCTCTTCTCTTCTGGAATCCCATTCCTTGTGTGAAAAAAAAGTATTAACCACCTGTTTTATATTTCTTATTATTGTATTGTTAAGATTAAATAGTTTCTATTTTTTGTAGATTCTTTGACAAAGTGGCAAGATGCGTTGAATTTATAATCTCAGTGTCTCTAAGAGGTGAAGTTTAATTCTTTAATTTTCTGTTTGGAAACTGAACTGAAAGATATTAATTATTTTCTTTAGAGCACAACAATGTTCAAATGCTTACGTTTTTAAAAACTATAGGCAGCTGTCCCTGTTATTTAGTGTCAAGTGAATCTGACTGAAGTGTGTCTGGATGATTGAAGGCTCTGAGTCTTTAAGCAGTATTTCCCGATACTGTCAAATAACTCTCTTATGATACTAATCTCAGGCTAGCAGCATGTTCTGAGGGAATAAAAGGAAAGCACGATCTTCATGATCAATATCAAAATGGAGAATTTAATTTTTAAACTTCACCTGAGTCTGTGCAATTTTGGGCACAATGAACATTCATGGCAAGAACATGTGATTGGTGTTCTGAGAGATCTATAACTACACTCAGCTGCACAAGCACACACTTACATACGACCAATTTGTCAGTTACAATCCTGCGAGCAGAAATATGTGCAACTGTCTCAACATGTGTAACAGAAATAAAAGACTTTGTATTGCTTTGAGCAGAAGTCGAACAGTCTCCTCCGCAAGCCAAGACAAATTAAACAAAACCTCGTTAGATATTTACTATTACTCATTTGTTTGCATGGTTTTTGAGCCATGCATGCTGTTGTATTGTTTGTTGTGTTTGATGTATCCAGTATGTGAGACCTTCCGTTGTAATGTTGTCATTAATTCCCCTCTGTCGGATCTACAGTGTACTGTTGATTTATATTGCCTTTATTCCTGGTTTTGGTTTATGATTATTCTTGTCTTTTCTTTGTTTCTATTGTTGTTGTTATGCAGGTCTGTTTTTTTTTTGTGGTCCTAATTCCTTTCCAGTTTTCTGCTATTGCTCGCCTACCCTCAAACTAGCCCAGTATGAGATTTAGTTTTAAAAAAGGTCAATGTCCTATAGTGACATGAAGCATCAAGCTCTACATCTGATTCTTGTGAAGATATAGTTTATCCTAGACGTAATGGAACCATCCTGTGAAAAAAGTTTCAGATTCTATGTATTAATAACAATAATGATACAGATTCAGGCAGGTTTTTTTTCATGGCTCCTGTAAAATAAGTTTTTTCTTGCAGTTTTGACACTTTGTTACTGACAATATCCATATTATCATCTTATCTTCGTATTGATGTTGCTTTCTTGTTGTCCTAACAAAATTAAACGGTAATGACTTGTCAATGAACAATTGTTGAAAATGATATTGTTAGGTCTTTTTTCCTGAATGAAGAAATTTCCTCTTGTATTTTGTTTTATTTTTTCCTGTATGAAGAGATCTCCTGTAGTATTTACATTTGACCATCCTGAAGGAAGAGGTGTCCTCTTGTATTTATGATATTTGTGAGGCTCCGCGGTGAAATCAGGCGCTCGTCAAAATAATGAAATCTGAGATATCTTCATTTTTCGGCCATTTTGGAAATTTTTTTCGAATTTGTGTTTTTAAAAAAAAACACTTTTATGTGTGAATTTTATGGAATAACATTGATTTATGGCACAAAAAAATGTAAATTTTGCAGTTTCCAAAGACTCTTAAGCTATGGAAGTTACCAAACTTTGGTGTCCATTTTCTCACTAATTTTTCTTTTGGAACCAGGCGACCCCACCTCCTTCAATCGCAAATGGCTCGACTTCTATTCAAGATAAACGGATATTTTTTCATTTGATAACTCCATATGCCTAAAAATTGATAAACGCCTGATTCCACGGCTCTGTGACACATTTACTTTTTATTTTTTTGAATGATGAAATTTCCTCTTGCATTTTCTTTTTTTTTTCTGAATGAAGAAACCCCATCTTGTATTGAACCCTGGGTGATAAATTGGACGTGCCTGGCCTAATTAACTTGTTGTTAAAACTGTTATGGGCTCATTTTAAGGAAAGCTCAAGTAAAAAGCTCTAGTATACGAGTAAAAGAAATATATTTATATTTTTAAATAGCATGCCAAATGTACACTTTTATATAAATCTATAATGAGAGATCTGAGCAGATGAAAACTGTTGGCCTTGGAGCTTGAAACCTTTGGACAGGTTTTTTTCTTGGTACAGTCTTGTTCATGGCATGGTGCAATTTGATATGGATTGATTTTGCTCTAGTCAATAGTTTAATAAAGATGGAGATGAAATAGGTTTCAAATATCTTTGGAAGATATAGATATGATTGTAATGGAAGCTTTATTGATGGATAGCTCAGATGGTATTCACCTATTCTTTCCTTCTGTTGGTCTCTTTTGTCTGAAGCATCTCTTTTTTTTTGTTTTTTGTTGTTTAATGAGACTGTCATCAAATATATAGATCTACTCTTATTGCCCACACTTTACTCTTTTCTTGCAAAGAGAATTGTACCAGTTGTGTGTTCTTGCTGAGTTTGTTTCTATTGGAAATTCAGACTAAGTAGTGTTGTTTACAACCAATGTGAAGGTCTTTTAGGTCTTGATTCGTATTTATTCAGGTTTGCCCAGAGCTGTTTTATATTTTCAGAAATAAAATGTGTGAAAAGTAAAGTAACATGATTAACAAATGAGATAACTTAACCTCTTTACCCTTTTTGATGAATCAAAATCCTATAATTTTATTAACCTTACCTTATTCATTGTGTGGCTATTATGCTATACTTGTAGTACCTATTTGTTTTTACTGTTTAAAAACTATTGGATGTGTCAAGGAACTTATGGTTTGAATATTTTGTTATGTAACCTTCATGTAAATTCAGTATCACCTATGGTTGTATTGTCTGTCTATGCTGTTTGAAGTCAAAGTTACTCCTCAAATATCATATTCCTTAAAATTTTGTATGACTTATCAGTATCAGAAAGATTTTTACCCACCCTGCATGTTTTGCCTCTATCATCATGTGCATGTATAGAAAAAGACAATTACACGGATACACTCTCTCTCTCACATTGATGCTTTCACATTTGCGACATAGTATGGCAGTTGCTGCAAGTACACTTTGACATTCCTCTGCTCTTTGTTGCTCTTCCCCCCCCCCCCTTCTCTCTCACTTACTCACTCTCTCTTTCTCTCTCTCCCTCCCTCTTTCTCGTTCTCTCTCTCTCTCTCTCTCTCTCTCTCTCTCTCTCTCTTACTCACTCTCTCTTTCTGTCTCTCTCTTTCTGTCTCTCTCTTTTCTCTTTCTCCTGCTACTCTCTTTCTTTCTGTTTCTCCCACTTTCTCTCTCTCTCTCTCTCTCTCTCTCTTTCTGTCTCTCTCTCTCTCTGTGTCTGTCTCTCTCTCTCTCTCTCTCTGTCTGTCTCTCTCTCTCTCTCTCTCTCTCTCTCTCTCTCTGTCTCTATGTCTGTCTGTCTGTCTCTCTCTCTCTCTGTCTGTCTCTCTCTCTCTCTGTCTGTCTCTCTCTCTCTCTCTCTCTCTCTCTCTCTCTCTCTCTCTCTCTCTCTCTCCTTCTCTCCTCTCTCATGCATGCACACACACAAGCACACATACTTCCATGCCCAAATGCATAAAGCACAGAGCACATGAAGATCAGAAGCTCAGTCAGTAAAATAAATCAACCCAAGAATACGGTCCAATGTTGCATCAGCAAAATGGAGACTTGGCTTATATTGCTATACACATATCTGAAACAATTTTCCATCCCAATGTGCCATTTATCCTATTTTTTTTCCTCCTTGCAGAGCCCCTGGGCTACTACTTCCGCAGTCTCGGTGACCCTGACCTCTATGGAGCCATGCTCTACAATTATCCCCCCGGCGAGCAGAAGAACAGCAACCAGGATGAAATCATCATGGGCGTCATGACAGACGAAAAGAACGCTGTGCTCACCCGACTGGCCTCTTCCAATTTGAACGATTACGTCGAGCTGAAATTGGTAAGTGGCTGCATCCTTTGCTCTCAGCTAAGCTGGTAAAGTCGCTTAGTGATCTTATTGAAGTGTGTGTGAATGATAGAAGACTCTGTGTGTGAGTGGTTGGTGGGTGCGCTGGTGCGGCTTGCTTCTTCTCTCCTATCAAACTTCTATTGTCTTTATCTCCCCTCCTCCTTTTTTGTGTTTGTTACTCCCTTGTAACTCCTCTAATCTTCTGGTGCTCATATGACCTTATGCAGTTGCGAGCGCTGTAAAACCTCTACTAAAACTAAAAAACACTTACTAAAAAAAGATTCTGTGTCGTTGAACATTTTCTCATGGGACTGTCAAATGATAATCGTTGGAGTTGTCCGATTGATACAGATGATTTTGGGGCACTATTGAAAGGTGTTACTTTCATTGCTGTTGTCTCTATATTGTTTTTGTCTGTGTTGATTTTCCCTCCACGTTTAATAAATGTTATAATGTCAAAGTGTTTCTCTTGAGCTCTAACAAAAATACATGAAATTCTTGTTAATTGTTACTTTGATTTTTGTATAATGACCCTCTTTTATAATAAATAGCTGGAGGGTTTTTGTTTTTTATAAGTGACTGATGTGTCTGTTTTCATTGTCTCCCAGTTTTCTTACTCGTTTATCTCACTTGTATTGTCCCTTTTGATTCAAATTTGTAAGGAAATTTTGTAATGAAGAACATGATAATGAAATCATTTACTTCAATAGGTGAATGGCTATGTGGTTGCAACATATGACACCAACGGTCAAGGGTCATCCACCACTATTACCAATGGAGATGTGATGGTGAGTGACGGGAACTACCACATCGTGCGGTTTTTGCGCCAGTCAGATAAAGCGAACCTCACCGTGGACAGCACATCGGCTAACATCAACCATCTCAGTGAGTATTGATGATAATTGCATTCATATAGGGCTTATCCACGCTCTGCAGCATGCTCTATGTGCTTTACAATTAGTACCCCAGCCCCTACAGACCGTAGAACACTCAAAAACATTCTCGGCTTCCTGGGAAGCATACAGTTCCAGCTGTGGATTTCACATGCCCAAACACTAACAGACTAAGAAAATATTTCACCGTCTATAACCAGATACTCATTTCCACCTGGGGTAAATTGGTTTAAAGTGCCTTTCCTATGGACACGAAAGGACACGACATAAAGGCTGGGCCTCGAACCCCTGAACCTGCAACCTCGCAATTACGAGTCCAGTAGCCTAACCACTAGACTACCAAGGCCTCCAACATATTTCTGTTCCTTACTTGTTCCAGATATCTGTTTTCTTTGTTGGAAATGACTTTCTTCTCTGGACATTTTTACCCTTCTATGTCTCAAAAATAAGAATTTTTATAAAATTTGACTTTCACTTTCTTTTCAGGCAATCATGACAACTTCAATCGCTTGGGTAATGTTTATGTGGGTGGACTGTACAAAGATAATAAGATGATAAATGGCACAGGATTCAGAGGAATCATTGGCGGTAAGTTTTTGAAGAAATTTCCTTTGTTGGAAATATGTTATTTTTTATATTCATGATGAACAGGATACATTTGTGCCTCATATTTAAACTTTTTTATAGTTAGTTTTAGAGATGAATTAGGAAAAAAAGTTGAATAAGATTTCTTCTACATTAAAAGTGTTCATTTGTTACTAGTACTTTTGAGATTCTTTTGCAGTCTTTTTAATTGTGCTAAAAGTAGATAGAAAATTATGTTTTTAATGAAGGATGAAAAGCAAATCTTCCAAACAAGGGGCTCCTTTCTTGAAATACTGTTTCAGTAAATAAATGTTCCTTCTGATAATAAGCCCATTTGGTGACCATATTGCTCTTGAGGGAGCTGACCAAAGCTGTACAAAAACAGACTCTGTAGCACAAAAAGATTGCTGTTGGAATGGAATTCATGTGTTGTAGAAGATAATGATACAACCAGTGAACTTTGTATCTGAAGCTGTGCTTGTTACTATCCTCAGGCCTGTATGTAAATGGACACCTAATTCTTCCCGATGCCAGCAGAGGCAAAAACACAGATATCTTCTCGGATGCTGTTGTTGCCCCGCACCCTTTCCAGCTGGGTCCCCTGTGAGTTTGCACTTAAGTCGTTGTTGTTTAAAGTTTGCTGTATACTTTGATCTATTCATAACATTGGGTTTTTTAATGATACTTAAAGTGTCTTTCATATTAAAGGGTCCATTAAATAATTGTGGCATTTGGGGCCGTGTGGTTAGGTGTTGGACTCACAACCAAAAGGTTATGGATTCGAACGCTGTCAGGCGCTCAATGTTGTGACATTGGGAAAGGCACGTTGCATGAGTTTACCTCACTTCACTCAGGTAGGAATGGGTATCAAGGTATAGGCAGTGAAAGATCTGATCAGTTTGTTGGTATTTCAACTCGTAATCGGCTGCTTGCACTGTATGCTTCTTGGGAAGCTGAGACTGTTTAATGTTTCTGAGAGTTATAGAAACAGCTGGGATGATAATAGTTTTAAGCGCATAGAGCATGCTGTTGAGCATGGATAAGTGTATTATACATGCAATAATAGTAAATTATTAGTTTAGTTTTTAGTTTAGTATGGAGTTTTACGGCGCTCTCAACTGCATAAGGTCATAGGAGCGCGCAAATTGTTAGTGTATTATTATTATCATTATTATTATTATATTATGTGAAATCTTCTAGTTTCATCCAAGTTCTTTTAAAAAAGCAAAATATTAAGCTTTGTATTGTTTATGTTTTTTTCAACCTTGCTTTCACGTCCCTTTTCACTTTTAAGATTTTACCTCTGATGTTTTATAATTAGTATTAAGAGAGGGCTATGGAATGTGAACTAATTCAACTTTTTTGTGTTGCAGGAAAACAACAGAAAAGCCCAACTGGGTGACAGAGCCACCAATTGTTGGTCCAAGTAAGTTTCTATAGTGCAAATAACCACATGATAATGCATTGTAACCATTGAAAACTCAGAATAATACATTGAGTGTCATGACAAAGCACTTTTTTTCCTATCCCTCTTTTATTTATCTCATTACTTTTCGATTCCATTTTACTGTTGTGGTGTGCGTCACTTTAAGTCATTCTCAAAATCTATCATTAGTGTTGGTTACTTTAAAATTTGTTTTGTATTTTTTGATTTTCTGTTTTCTTTTCTTTTTTTCTTACTTATGTTGAGCTTTTTTATTTTAGAGATGGGTTGGAAAGGTGAACAATTGTAGTAATTATATTTTGCAGTTTTCTTTTGTACATCAGACTCATAAACTTTGCTGTGAAGCCACTTTTGTTTGCTTCTGAGAATTACTCATTCACTCATGGCTGCAAAGTAGGCAGGCGGCTGAGCAGTGGTGGAGATGTAACCTCCCACTAAACCTTTAAATAGTAGTAAGGCATTCCAATTATAAACCTGTGATTGGTGTCAATTTTAAAACAGTGAATTTGTTGTAACCCTGTCCTCGTTAAAAATTTTCCCTTAAAACAAATTTGTAACAACAGCCCTCATTCTCGTTTGAAGCTTTCTCTTTGAATGAACTTGTTGAGATCCCTATCTTTGTTCACACCCTTCTTTAAAAACAAACTTACTAAGACCATGATCTCTGTTCAACAAACTTTTGTAAACCCCAATCCCGTTCAAAACTTTCTCTTTGAAAAAACTTTTTGTGACCCTCATACTTGTTTGAAACTTAACCGTTGAGCAAACTTGTTGTTACACCTGTCCTCATTTGAAACTTACTCTTTTTTTATCTTCTTCTTGTCAACAGCGCCGGACAAAAAGCCGTTTGATGTGATCCCGGTGCTGCCCCCAGGTGTCGGTGGCGGTGGTTTGGCTTTCGGCGTGGGTGGTGGCCCAGTGGACATTGTCGTGTACCCCGGAGGTAGTGGGGGTACAGCGGTGGGTGCTCCTGCAGCTGCCTTTCCCTTAGACGGCTCTGGTGAGTGGAGGATAGGGAAAAATCTTTGTTCCTTCTGCTGTGTCAATTTTGCTTTCAGTACAAACTGTTTGTTGACCGTTGTCCTGTGTAGTGTTGATGTTTATTTTCTTTAAATTGTCTTTTTGATTTTTTTTGTCAAGTGTTATAGTATTTTTCTCTTTTTTGTTCTTGATGCTGGTCAGGGGAAATTAAATACTAAAATGTGCACAACAATGGTAAACAATGCACTTCTGCTGATGCAAGTGGTTAAATTATGTCTCTTATGCACATGAAGGATGTAAGGTTGTGATTTTCCCTTACCTGGGCTCTCATTCTCAATCTTGAGCCTTCTGTTTCATTTATCTTCCTACCTCATATTGTTGGCTTCATCACTTTCATGAGATGCGATGTTGACATAAAAGTAAATGTAACTCTTTTTTTAAATTCTGCAACATAATACTTAATGATTTCCAAACAAATTTTCACCAGTGTCAAATTGATTGATAAAGGTAAGAGACAACTACTGAGGTCACCAACAGACTTTTAAAAAAGATTTTCTGAGATCACCTCATCCGTAAGTGATTTTCTTTTTTCCTCAGCGGCATCTGCGGCTCGTGCCTCACTGTCTGTGATTCCCCTCTTGCCTGCCAAAGGCCCTCGTGCAGGGGCCCTTATGGGCATCATTTTGGGCATCATGGCCGCGATCAGCAGCCTTATATGGGCCTTTTACTTGTGAGTTGTCAGAATTGTAGGATATTTGTGTGCTGTCTTTTCGTTATTGACTTTCTAGTTTTTTTGTGTGTATGTGTGCTTGTGTGTGTGTAAAGGTGTGTGGGTATATGTATGCCTGTGTGTTTGTGTGGGTAAGTGTGTTTTTGTGTGTGTGTGTGTGTGTGTGTGTGTGTGTGTATGTGACCACATGCACATTTAGTAAGTCCTTCTTATTCTCTATTCCCAGTTATGTGGCCTTGCTTTTCCCAAAGCATTGAAAGCTACTGAGTTGTTTATGTGCCTTATTATTTTTGATCAAACTTTTGTGTTTGTATGTGTGTGCATGCCTGTGTGTGCATGTTTGTTTGTATGTGCATGTGTGTTTGTGTGCATGCATGCATGCATGTATGCAAGTATGTATTAGAGAATGAATGTGCGCGAGTATGCCCAAGTGTTTTTGCATGTGTGTGTGTTTGCGCATGCGCATGTGTGAATGTGTGTGTGGGTGCATGCATGCAAGCATGTGTGAGAGAGTGAATGTGCACAGACATGCTCAAGTGTATATGCATGTGTATGTGTGTATGGTTAAACTGAACAATTTTGGTATGTCTTATGTTTAATGTCAGTTGTGTGATTTAAGACATGTGTTGTGCCCTCCCCCACTCCGCTCCTTATCATGCAGGTGCAAACCAGGGTGTTGTTTTGGAGGATCTGAGGCCCCACTCACAATCTCGGAGCCCAATGCAGACGCTTCAGCACCCTTCCTAGATGCTATACCCTTGGCTGATGTTGGGGATACTGGCAAGTTTCCTCTGCTTGCTGGTGATGCTGGAGCAGGAGGCGGAGGTGGAGGTGGAGGTGAGTTTTACCTTTGTCTTGACTCTTTCCTTAGTATTAAATCTATGTTTACAAGTCATCTGGAAAAAGACATCTGACGTGCTCATTCCTTGTTTTGTTGATAAGAATTTTCAACTTTCCTAAAAACTCTTACTTTTTATTTTTAAAAGTGAAAAGTAAGAATTAAAAATTGTTTTAAAAATTAATTTTAAAAAAAATTTATTGTTTCTTTGTATTTACTTGAAAAGAGTAATGGTTTATCACTGAATAACTCTCAGAAGGGTACTTAATGAGAGTACATTTTTCTCACAGTTTGACTTTTGTGTTGTGTACCCATTTTGATATGCATCAGTTTGATGTCGCACCATTTATGTGTGTTTGTTGTCCGAAGTACTTCTCACTCATTTATCTCCTTTTTTCCACTGATGCGTTAGATATTCCTAGTTGCTTATCGGATTCATTACCAGTAATGATGCAGTGAACATAAAAGAGGTCTTGTGTTGTCTATGGAGATGTATTTGGATATGTTTAAATAGATCAGTTTCTTTCTCCTTCTTTCACTCTGAACTGAAATTCATAATCTAGATGTCCCAACATTTGTTGAAAATTATGAGTAGGAGATTGATAATAAGGAGAAAATAAAAGAGAACAAAAATGTGTCAGCTGACACAACTTTTTAGCTTAACTTAACTCTTTATTTTCTCCCATAGGTGTGGACTTGGTGGATTCTGGCTTAGTTAAAGGTAAGGATGTCTTCATGTCGTTTGTTTCAAAAAAGTAAAAGAGAGACTTTAATAATGAAGTCTGTCGGCAGTTGCTGGGTATTCTGGTGTGGTCTTCTCTTCTGATTCTGCTATAGTAATTTTGTTTCTTGGCAACTTTGGCTAGAAAAATCTAAAAAGTTCTTTGGCCTGACACCATAAGAAACAATTCAGTATGAAAGCAAACAAATCAGCTGAAAATGGATAAAAATCAGAAAGAGAAAAATGGAAGTGGACTGGACACACTTTGAGAAAATTGTAAACAAACAATACCCACCAAGCCCGAGATGGAACCCACATGGAAAGAGAAAGAGCAGTCGTAAAAGTACTTGGAGGAGGGAGTTAAAATCTGACCTAAATGAGATGGGATGCAGATGGACAGAGATGGAGTATAGTCCAGAACAGAAGCAGATAGAGAACTCTCATTGGTGGCCTATACTCCTGTCTGGAGTGGGAAAGGCTGACGATGATGATGATGATGATGATGATGCAGACTCGTACTCTGTATCTCAACATGAACCGGATTGCTCTCTAGACATGTTTAGTTTTGGTAAGGTTTATGGCACTCACAGCTGTGTAAGGTCATATGAAAGCACCTCTAGACATGTTCCCACAGACTCATTGACTACCTTATATAACAGTTGCTTTCTGTTCTTTCTTTAGCTTGCATGTCATGTAAAAGGTAAAATTTGTATAATGTTGCATGCAGAAATGACAGGACTGAACTTTGCTTTAAGATTGCTTTCATCTATGAGGCTTTGATCAGTAAAAAAATTAATTTCTTAGGGCCATTTCAGCTCATCCCTTGATTGAGTGTTTGAAGAAGACTGCTGAAATTCCATCTCTATTGTTGAATACATGGCCGTGGGTTTTACAGTAGCTGCTAAGGTAAGAAAAAACAAAAACAACTTGAACTTTTTACCCTAGACCCAATTTTCATGATGGAAAAATCTGTCCACCAGGCGGATATGGCGGTTCACATACTCTGAACGCGACACGCTCTCACCTAGCATCCACCGCTTCCGCCGGCGCCTTCTCTGTGAATGACCATCAGATCGGAGTCCTCAGCCCCACATCTCTACAGTCCTACCACTTTGAAGGTGGTGACAGTGCCACGGCAGACTACGACATTGCTATAGGTTTGTCTGCCACTGGTTTACTGCTTGGCTTTTTAAATTGTTCTGTTGTTCAGACAACTTTTTTAGTTTCACAATAATTTTGTACGAATATAACTTTCATAATGATTAATTGTTTTGGTATATGGACTGCCACGGTGACAATTGTCAAGTTCCATGTTATTTATTTGTGTTGTTTCTTCCAGGATTATGACATCATGATCTTTCCTTTTAATTAATGTTTATCGATTATTTTTCACAATCCATCCCATTTATAATCTTCCCCCTCCTGTCACAGTAATATGTATGTAGTGTGATCTTTCCAGTCCACTTTTGCACTATCCTAGTATTATCCTTCAACAGTTGCCCCATTTTGGTCTTTCCCTTTAATGCCAGGTATAGTCATGACTATTTCCCTCAACACATGTCATCATGATCTTTTCCCTCAACACAACACATAAATCATCCATCCATGATTTTTTCACTCAACACGTAAATCACTATGATCTTTTCACTCAACACATAAATCACAATGAATTTTTCACTCAACATATCTTTCATGTCTGTGTTGTAGAGAATTTCCCCCTCAACACTGTAATGATACAGTGTCTTATACATGGTCCTTTTCCCCTCTAGGAGTCCACCACCCGAACTACAAGAGCAGCACTTTACCCGTTGGTCGTGGGGGAATGGGCAGTGGTCACTCAACTTCCACACTGGCATCCAACTACAACTACACGGTGAAGACCGCGCGCTCACTTGGCGCCTACAGTCACACCATGGGGTGAGTTACCCATGATTGCTAGCTTGATTGTTCGGTTGAATTTTGAAGTGTGTTTCCCAAACTGGTTCTGTCCTTGCGCTCACAACTGCCATCTAAGTCGGTGGTTGGCAGGTGCTCTTATGTGGTTTGCTCCTTCTTTCCTATGAAACATCTATCATCCTTATCTCCACTCCGTCTTTTTTGTGTTTGTTACTCTCTTGTAACACCTCTAATCTTTGGCTCTATAATGTGACCTTATTGTGTTGCAAGTGCAGTAAAACTCTTGCTAAAAAAGAAAGAAACCCAAAAAAATACCCGAAGTGTTATCTTTTGCTGCACATTGGCCAAATTGGCCGCAAATTCCATTTTGATTAGCCAGAGAAAGTACACCCGAACATTGACAACGCTGCCATCTGTAGACACAAACCTGTTCATTTTTCCCCAACGTCTTTTTCTTTCTTATGCAACACTTTGTCTGACCAACATTAAGTTATTAATGGACAATGTACTAGTACAGGTTTGCCTAACATTTATGGGTGAAAGTGATCATACTGTTGATGTCATAGGGAAATAAATGATATACTTCAGAGCGAACTTGTTAATGCTGAAATACTCCAGATTCTTGGGATAATTTCAAGTACTAAGTTGTACCCAACCGCAGGCTAGAGATGTCTTTATTCTGGAATTGTACATTATTATGTTGATCATGATAACATCGGCAGGTTGTTAAACTGTTGTAAGGCCAGTAAGCAAAGCTTTCAGAAGGAAGAAAAAATCACACCTATATTATGTATTTTTCGAGCTTTTTTCAACATTTAGAATCAAAATTTTGATAAAATATTTCTCAAGTTCATGTAATCGATACCACAGATTGAGAAAGTGCAATAAAAAGATTTTACAAAATGTTGGGTGTAGTATACTTGAACAGCTGGCTGGCAATTTGTTTCTCAGTACTCCAACAAACAACTCTCTTTCGTCTGTCTTCAATAGCTATGCAAGCAGCACACCCCAGATCATCGTGACCCCAGGTCCCATGGGTGAGGAGGTCCGCGTGGACTGCTGCCTTATGACTGGGAATGGGCAGAGTGTGGTTACTGGGTCCAGCCTTGGGCCGCCTCAGGTTTGGAACATGACGGTGAGTTATGGTTGTTTTGTTTTTGTCTCTTATGTCTGAAGAGTCACATATATGAAAGTTTGGGTTTTTCAGAGGGGGGGAAGAAGTCGTCTTTGTGTTGTTTTGTTTTGTTAGTTGGTTT